ACCTCATTCCCTCCCCTTTCTCCCTTTTCTCCCCTTTCTTTCCTTCCTCCCCTTTCCCATTCGGTATTAATTTCTAACTTTTATTCACCCTGGGGAATTAAAATGCGAGGAGTTGACTCTTGACACGGTGACTCCCTTGCACTGGGAATAAATAATTCCTGTACCATTCAAGTGACATGTGCAAAAGTCAAGTATATAAATGATGAAGTTGTGGTAATCCCGGGGTTTTACTGGCGAAAGGTAAAGGTGCATTGATACATTCTAACTAATTTATTTCTTAATACATTCTAACTAATTAATTTCTTAATTTTCAAACACGTTTTACGTTGCCACATATTTTTTTGAGTTCGTCGCCATTTTATGTTCTTCACGCACTGTTTAATATACTCGCGGAATTTTTAATTCCAAGGGGTCAAATTTCAAAAACTGGAATTTTTGGTAATTTTGGAAATTTGAGAATTTTGGAAATTTTGGAAATTTTTGAAATTCTGGAAATTATGGAATTTCATTTTTTTTTAATAAGACACGAATTTTTTGAGTTTATAACAATTTTTCGGATTAATGGATCTCAACGTATTTTCCCCAATTTTTCGAAAATCAGAAAAAATAGCTCTCCCAAATTTAAAAATTCCCACAGAGATAAAATCCAAAAACTTTCGAATGCAACGCGTGAATAGCGTCCCGATGAAATTGGAAATCGACTTGACGATGCGACGATATACGCCAAGTTATCTGTGATGAAGTCGTATCTCCGAGGTTAATTTAGAAAGGTAAAAATCGGGTCGCCGGAGTGTAGAAAGGCTTTCATTTCAATAATTCTCATTTATCCTCGAGTTGATGAGTGATCCATCATTTTGCCTAAATAAAAAACCGCCAAAACCGGCGGTTAATTCACTCCCTTCGAACAAGGAAGTGCAGAATAAATTCTATACCGCAGGTTAGATGCATAAATCATTGAATCATTCGCGGAAATACGCAGAAGACAATGAAATCTGTTGTTACTTGGGGTGCAGGTGAAATATAACGGAAGGCCTTGCGTTGTGAACACCGATTGCACCGAAGGTGAACCACCGTTGAACATTCAAGCACTTCCTACCCCTCTCCCCCTCGACAATCATCAAATGACATCTCTCCCCTTCACCCCCTCCACTCCCTCCACTCCTCCACCCCCTCACCATCCTAGAACTCCTCCACCACTCGTATTTACATTTTATTTTCAGGAATCAGTGATTTGTCTCGTTTATATCTTTGACATTTAATGAAATTCTCGAGAAATTTCCTTCTCACAGAATTGTTTTAAATAAAATATTCTTGAGGATGTATAAAGTACGAGAATATTTCTTATCGATTTGTTTATAAATCTGACGATTTTATTTTATTTATTTTTATATAGTTTTTTCTGGAATGACGCGATTGTCATGTGACGGAGGCGTCCGTTTCGGTAAATACGGGATGCGCATAATTATACGCGCCCACTTTATTCTGACAACCAACGCATTAAAACATCAGTGCATGGTAAATTTATTAGGCATCAGAGACCTTTTCCTTTTTTATCCCCACACATGATGGCAATCGTAAGAGTATTATGAATGATTTTATCATTTCTAATGAGATTTCTCCGTAAGATAAAAAAAACCTACTCAATTTTCTTTCTTTCATTCCATCGTGCATTGCGTGTTCCTTCCGTTTCCTCAATCCACTCTATCAATATAATCACACACATAATTACACCAAAAGAAATTGATGATAAATTGATAATAACTTCAATAAAAAAACGACTGTAATCAAGAAAACCAGAAAATCAACCGAAGACCGAAAGCAAAAAATTCCCAACTCCTCTGACAATATCTCCGAAGCTAAGAGAGATACAGAAATTTTTATAATTACCTTTTTTGCAGGTTTTATTGTATTCTACAAAAAAGGTACTATTCAAAATTTCGGTATGTCCACTAGTTTCGGAGGAATTCTCCAAAAACTGAAATGAAAAATATAGGATGTGAAATTGCGGGTTTCCGCGGAGATAATGATTCTCATCGCGAGAGATCGATAATCGCCTGTTGATTTTTTTTTTGTTGTTGTCCTCCCAGACTCGAGCAAGCGACCATTGACCTTTGAAACCAGGTCACATTGAACTGAAATTATTTCAAAGAAAAAAGGGTAAATGCATTCGACTCACGTCACGGGAAGAGGAGACGCGCTGAGAAGTCATAATTCCATTCCATCCTATCGGCTACATATATCCATATACATGGATATGTATTTCCAAGCACGTGCTCTTCACCTTGACCATGTCCTCATCAAGTGGTAAAACTCCTACCTGGTGTGGCCCCCGGGTTCATCCACTCCTAGACTTTCCACTTGTTATTTTCGCCTTCCGAGGATTAGGATAATGAAACGTCGTCCCAAAAAATCCCTAGAAGATGAATTAAAATCCCACATCTCCTGATTTATCACTGGAGATTCAAGTAATCCCTTAATTAACGATGAATACCCAATGAATCGGCAGATTAGAGGATATCTCCGGACAGAAAGGACTCAGAGGATTTCGTCATGGGACTTTTTTGTGGAGAATTTCATGGACTTGGAAAAATATCTTATCAACTTTTTCTCTAATCCCACGGGCTTCGGGGATATTCATTAAATACTCAATTCGCGTGGCCAGTACCACTTTGTATCACCACTGAGGAATTATTTAGGATCCTGGCAGGTTAGCCTTGTACTTTACTGTAATGATGGTTCATTATTTCATAAATGACTTTCATGTCGATCTTTCGTTGCTGTCTCAGTGAGAATGATCATTCAATAAATCCACAACTCGAGTCTTTCATTGTGAATGGAAATAAAATAATGTTATCCACATAAAAAATAATTTTTTTCAATCAACACCAATCGATGTTCAAATATTTATAGTAGAAAAAAATTCTTTATTGGGTTTCGAATAAGGAATGGTTTCCCGATATTTAAAATTGATTGAAAATTATTTATTGGAGTGATTTGTGGGGATGATGACGCAGGTGGGTAATGAATAAATGAATAAATGTGTGGAGGAAGAAAACAACTTGTTTTGTGATGAGAATAACATTTGTTGGGGATTAGGACCGGTTTAACCGATGATTCGATATCTGAGAAGAGAATTCCATCTCCGAATGCCGTCCTGAATTAATCATGGGTGGTCACTGGTGGCTGGTGTTACCCAGGAGTCAGCATTATTTCACCTCGAATTGAGCCGGCATTTTGGAGTGGCATAAAACGAGCATTGAGCTTCGAAGGTTGGATAAATGTCAGTTGCCAACCGGGTTTTAAAATGCTTCGACAACCCGGCGCCATCTCCAGCTCATAGCACACTGACCTACACTCATCTCTGCAAAATATTTTATTTTTTTAATTTTTTTTTACAGCCAACTTTTATCACCTGCAATCAATCACTCATTTATGATTTTCCACAATTCGCTTGAAAATCCAGTGGAAAATCCAATTCGCCATTTTTTTTTATACATTTACGAGACGTTTTTTTATAAACAAATAGATAAAGGGGGAATGGAAGATGAGGCAAGTGTTTACAAAGAAATTTCCTTTAGAAAAGAAAAAAATAAATCGATTTTTGGATTATTCTTATTTTCATTTTTTCCATCTCCTCGGATTTTTCGAAATGCTGCAGCCAAAATTTAATTACTGACAATAACACGAATTGAGAAAAGTCTTTTCCTCTTATAAACAAGTTAATAATAATGACCCAACCGTAATTACGACTGATAATGGAGTAAAATAGCCATCGAAGGAGCGTATATCGAGTTTACGTAAGAAAATTGAATGGCAGATAAATAAGAGACGAATAAAATAAAAAATACTTGTCCTGAATTTCTTCTCATCATCATTTTCACTTCACTCTCCACGCTTCACCACGTGTATAGGTCGTATCACCAAGTGTACATCTGAATTACTCAAACAGGTTTTCACCTACAGTGAGAATAAAAAAAGGAATAGTTGATGGTGTAAGTGGTTCTTGTCTCTTGCCACGGGAATCTCCACCCTTCGAGAACAAAGAACATTCTGGTGTTCCTCGTTATCTGGAGATAGCTATGGGATTGAGCAATCTAGGGGCATTAAGTCTTCTTAATTCAATAGTCGTTTTTTTATTTTCTTGGAGATGGAAAATGCCAGGGTGAGATCATTTCTATCTTGGATACTGGCCCCTCGAGGATTTCAGGTGGAAATAATCTCTCGAATTATCTACGGGCTTAAAGTGATTTTTTTTTTTTACATTCTTCCTGGTCAATCCATTATTTCTAAATTACGGAGATTTTTGGAAAATGAGGCTAACAATTGTTTTCAATTTCGAGAAATGATTTTTTGAAAATGGAAATTATTGGAGAAATTGTTAACAATGTTGCACGCGACTGATCAACGGCTTAATCATTCGTGACCTATTGAGGGAATAAATATTATCGTGATCTTTAACCGGCGCAATGTGGAGGTAAAATCGAGAGTCATCCTGAATTGTTTCTCGATGACTGAAAAAAAATGACGAGAGCACGAGTCGTTGGGAGTACAATCTCTCTTCTAGAAAAATCTAGAACATCGTAGAAACTTATTCGAGAAGTCGTGTGAAAATTTCGCCGCGAATATCTCTACGTATCAAGTAGATTAGGTTGTACTTTAGCCAGACGAAGTCGAGAAAATCCGAGGATCAAAAATGGGGAAGAGAAAATGGGAGAACCTGGAGAACATGGAGAACCTGGAGAACCTGGAGAACTTGGAGGACCTGGAGAACCTGGAGGACCTGGAGAACCTGGAGAACCTGGAGGACCAGCTCTTTGCCAGCAAGAGGTCCAGACGCTCAAACCTTTGCCTTTGGACAGTTTTAAAATTCAATAAAGACTCTTTAATTGTGATTAATTCTGGTGGAAATAAATTAAATACGATGGCAGCACCAGACGGAAGGTGAAAGTCCTGGACAAGAAGAAGGGAAGGAGTGGAGGTCCACATATAGAGGGGCGAGAGGGCGCGGCTTGTCCAGACGTTTTCTGTCCCGCTGACGACAATCATGTCGCCAAAGTTTATATTTCTCCTAGGATGCCTAACTCTACTTGCCGGTGAGTAAACCACAACTTCCTCCTGGAATAAGAGAAAAAAAAATCAATTCTGTAACGATACGAAGATGATTTATCTCCTCGGAGATGAGTTAACTCAGCCATCCGTTGGATTTTTGAAAATATCTCTAAAATCAAGGCAGATAGAGAAATTTTTGTCATCACCTTTTTCGTACGTCTTTGTCAGATCTACGGAAAAGATTTCCATTGAAATTTCGCTATCTCCCTTCATTTTGGAGATATTCCCGGAAAACTTACGGATTTCTTGAAAATTGGGGAAAGGGTTTTTTTAGTCAAGTGCGTCGTGAATAAATAATCTGTGAAAAATTAAATAAATTAATCCTCTGCGTATATTAGTTAGTAAAAATATAATTTATTTATTAAAACATTAAATCAACGATAATAACAATCCGATAATTCTCGCGATTAAATACTTTCCCGTGGAAATTCGAAGAATTTTCCGTTGAAAATCCACAACATTGTTTATCTCGCGGTAATTAACAAAAAATTAACAATATCACAGGGAATTTGTTATTGGTCCATTAGAATTCAAAGAATTTTTACGAAAGTCGATGGAAATTAATGGAAAATTCATAGTGAATGCAATTTTTGTCGGGAAATTTTGCAATTGCACGGAATTGTTTTTGATACAATTTTTTACGAGAGAAATAAAAAATTTTAAAACAGTGCAGCTGTTGCTTTCCCCTACCGGAGTCTCGCCCTGACATTTCCAAGACTTTCTACTTCACTGGAGTTCTTTGACCCTTCGCTCGTGTCTCGGCTTTTCCCGATGAGAAAAAAAATTTCAAACAGCATCTGTGGTGATGTGAAATAACGAAAAAAAAAAGTCGGACCCAATTGCTCAAACGTTCACCTCCTGGGGATAAATAAAAAAAAAACAATGGTAATATTTCAAACTGATTGCTGATGTCGTAATAATTGGCATTTCGCAGTTACGGTGAGAGCGCAAGATGATGAGGGAGAGGATGGAGCTGGTGCTAATGCTGAGGAACTCTGCCAGGACAGACCTGGTGATGAGTATTTCCGTCTCAGTGTCGATGGAGATTGCAGGGATGTCGTGAGGTTAGATGCGTCATTTTTAATAAATAATTCCACGAGCGACGAAAAATCTAAAGGATAAATCGACGAATTCGTTAGAAAATTCGATAAGATTTCCCTTAAAATATTTATATTTAATTTTCCATCGGATTTCACTGGATTCCACGATTTTTGTCGTTCGTGTCATTGAATTATTCAATTGTTCATTAAATAATTCCACCTCGGTTGAAATATTTCTGATCGATTATCATTGTTGAGACAACGGTAAGTTCTCCACACCTTCTAGGTAACTGTAAAACCAGTGATTAACGGAGTCATACCAACTTCCGAGTAACTGATTGATTGTTAATTAACGGTCGGTCGTTGGGTGGAATATTTATGAGGGAAAGAGGTTTTTCTCATTCTGCTGACAGCGATTTCATTAAATTCCGCGGAATTTAAAATTCCTCTCATTTCATTATGACAAAACAGGTTTTTGCACGCTGAAAATATTATCAACAATTAATTACTAATAAATCGTCATTCAAATTAAATAACATTAACATCAACAACATAATTAACGATTAAAAATTACACTGCACACAAAATTATCACCAATTAATCACTAACGAATTACAATGAAGAATTAAATATCATATTTATTAATTATTATTACCGATTATTGCACAATAATTATGAGAATCCTGATAAACAATTTGAGGTGTTCTCCGATAAAAATCAGATTGATCTGATGTTCTCAGTCTTCCAATGACATTTCGACGAGTCCTTGAGAGCGCAATTGATCTGACAAGAAAGGCAAGAGAGGAATTCCCTCTAATTACCTCCTAATTACCCCCTAATCACCCCATAATTGAGGGAGAAAAATTCCGCAATTCTCTCATTTATTGAATTTATTTCCCCAACAAAATCAGATGCGACAAAGCGACTGAGATCGGTGTAACCCGATTGGCATCTGTCAAGTGTCCAACTGGTTTGGCATTTGACATCGAGAGACAGACCTGCGATTGGAAGACAAACGTGAAGAATTGCGAACAGCTTGAGAGTAAGATACGATTGTTAATTAAATTAAGTTGAACTCAAAGTCCCCTCCGTTCTTACCCCTCAGGTGTACAAGATCTGGACTGAAGCAAATCACCTGTCCCAGTGGATTGGCCTTTGATTTGGACAAACAGACCTGCGACTGGAAGGGCAAGGTCCATAACTGTGACAAGCTCGAGAGTAAGTGACGTTCAAACGGGGAATTTAAAATTATGCGCCGGATTATCGTTAATTGCACCTCAAAAATGTTCCGATTTTCTCGAAATATTGCGCATCCCACAATCACACGATCTCCACTTCGTCATTATTCCGAAAATATCTCGAAAACTACTGGATTGAGAGGAAAATGTCAAAAGACCATTTCTCTTGTACATAGAATTTTCTGCGAAAAAGGTTCTTAACATTTCTCTCTCAATCCAATACCTCTCGAGATATCCCACTGATGAAATATTTTTTGGGAAATTACCTGGAGAAAAATTGCACAGAACATTTTTCGGTGTGAGAATTCCTTTGAGATAATTCTTAATTGTCATGAGGTCTTGAAGGAATTCAACGAATCCCCGGTAATGCTCGTAGACTCGCGCCGTAGCACGCAAAAAAAATCGACGCACTTTGGAAAAAAATTTTGAAGTCATTAACTTTTATTTTTACTCACTGTTTTTATAAGGAGACAATCGGGATCAATCGAGCGGCCATGGCCATCCACTTTGTGGATTATAATTATCTTGATTAATGTGGGATAGAGAGCCGGGAAAATCGATATGGAGGGATCGATTCACCGATTATTTTTATTTTATTTGATCGACGAACAAGGCCGCTCGACTTTTCCCTCATTCTGTACAGACATATCTCTAACTGCTTAGATCTTTCGCTTTCTAGATACTAAATTCTCACTTTGCGATCTCAAACGCTTTCACGATGTCCCCGTTTCACTCGAGCTTTCAATTTCTTCCGACCATCTTTATTTTTTCATTACGAATATCTTGATTCCTCAGTCTCCATTCGTATTTTCAACACTTATCACTATTAATTTTCACTTTTTCAAAGAAATTATGAAACTCACGCGGAAAATTCTGTAGCCGAGTGGTTAAAGGCGATAAATCCACTTTTTCTCTTTCACTCTTCCGTGAGTCTCACGGAAATATCACGGAAACTACGGGAGATACTCAAATTTTTATCTCAACATTTTTTGTGGAGATTGACGAGAGCTAAAAAAAAGTTCCTACACGAATTTTTCTATCTCCCTTGGTTTTTGGAATATTTTCGAAAAGCTCGATGAACTCAATCGACGATTTAATTACAAAAACTGATCTTTTGCTTTCTGATCTGAAAAAAATTTATAAATTGTAAAATATTTGAAGAATATTAAGTATCAAAGATATTTTTGATTCTGGAAAATTTATTTCTCGATTAAGAATAAATTTTACCGAATGAAAAAACTCTCGCTTGAATTATCGAAATTAATCGAATCGCGGATTACTCGCTCTTTAGTAAATATTGTACGAAATTTCGATGGAGTTTTGTAAATTGAAGTGCTGAAGAAAATTTTCCACTACCTGGAAAGTCCTGGAGGTAGTCAATCCCGAATTTTCCCTCTTGAGAAGCAAAGAGACTCTCAAAGCAAGACCCCGAGCTTTTCTCTTTCCTTCAAACGCTTATTATCTGAATAATTGGAGTAATCTCTCATAACTTCTATAACCCACACCACACTGATACAAAAAAATCTACACTGAAATTAATGGAAGTTAAAAATTTCGACATCTCTTTAATGAACAAAAAACCAAACAATATTAAAATTGTGATAATACATCTGCATATCTCTTCACTATCTTCATTATTTATCTAATAATTCAGGCAAAGAGAACACTCGCTAAGACTCGAGTCGTGGACTATTTTGCTAGCTGCTGTTTTTATTTAATGCTCTCTGTTCATTTTCACTTTGTGTTACGAAAGAAGATTAATCAACAATAATAAATAATCGATTACAAAATCAGTAGCGAAAGGGTGAAATAAATCGAGTTCTCGGTTATCCTAAACATCGATTAACCTCATGAACCATCGATTTCACCCAAAAATATCAGAAGACCTTTTTTGTCGACAACTTCTTCCGCTACAAAAAAGTTCTTCACTGTTTTCTCCTGAAATCGATAGTTTCCGACATAAATCGATGATTAAAAAACTTCTGATTTCGATTTATTCCAATCTTTATCATAATGAGACTTTTTTTTTTCTCGAAATTACTAGAGTAATTTTGTAATGGGGAGTGGGTATGGAGCGCAATTAAAAAGTGATCCTTAAATTGCGTCTTCTCTCAATGATAAGTAAATAAATAAATGAGACGCGTGCGTCGTCGTGAGCCGAATAAATTGAAGTACCCGAATACGTCACAACTCGTCGGATTAATTATTTCTCCCAATTTACCAGGAGCATTTTTACTGAACGATTAATTACATGATCTCAATGAAGTTCATTCAAACGGACATTCTGACGATTGACAAACAGTTCACTAATTATACACATTTCGACGTAGATTGTATCACACAAGGGGCAAGAGGCGTATGGAGTTGGGCCTTGAATTCAACTTTGGTCGTTGCTAATTATCAATGCATCCCTCTAATTTCGTTAACAATTATCTGGATAATTGCAGAACCCCGTAAGGTACTCCCTATTCTCAAGACAGACGAGCCCATCTGTCCCGAGGGTAAATTATCCTGCGGCAATGGTGACTGTATCGAGAAGGAGCTCTTCTGTAACGGAAAGCCCGACTGCAAAGACGAGTCCGATGAGAACGCCTGCAGTAAGTATTTTCTCCAGGAGATAATCCCCCTTAATCCGTGAAAATCTGATGACTAAATCTCTTCCAGCGGTGGAGACGGACCCAAATCGTGCACCAGATTGCGATCCAACGCAGTGCGTTCTGCCGGATTGCTACTGTTCAGCCGATGGAACCCGAATTCCGGGTAATATCGAGCCATCCCAGGTTCCCCAGATGATCACAATTACCTTCAATGGTGCAGTGAATGTGGACAACATCGACCTGTACGAGGAGATATTTAACGGTCAACGAGCAAATCCAAATGGCTGTCAAATTCGCGGAACATTCTTCGTGTCCCACAAGTACACAAATTATTCAGCTGTCCAGGATTTGCACAGAAAGGGCCACGAGATCGGTGTCTTCTCTCTTACCCACAAGGACGATCCCCAGTACTGGACCCAGGGTACTTACGACGATTGGCTAGCAGAGATGGCTGGGGCGAGACTTATAATTGAAAGATTCGCAAATATCACGGATGGTTCGATAATTGGAATGAGAGCACCTTACCTCAGGGTGGGAGGTAATAAACAATTTGAGATGATGTCTGATCAGTTCTTCGTGTATGATGCCTCGATCACAGCCTCACTGGGGCGGGTTCCCATCTGGCCGTACACTTTGTACTTCAGAATGCCCCACAAGTGTAATGGCAATGGTGGAAATTGTCCCTCGAGGTCGCATCCTGTCTGGGAGATGGTTATGAATGAGCTCGATCGTCGTGATGATCCCACATTCGATGAGTCACTACCTGGTTGTCATATGGTTGACTCGTGCTCTAATGTACAGACTGGGGAGCAATTTGGCCGACTTCTCAGGCACAATTTTAATAGGCACTTCAATAGCAACAGGGCACCCCTCGGTCTTCACTTCCACGCGTCCTGGCTCAAGAGTAAGAAGGAGTACAGGGATGAACTCATCAAGTTCATCGATGAAATGACTCTCAGGGGGGATGTATACTTTGTCACTATGGTTCAGGTCATCAAGTGGATGCAGACACCTACCGAATTGTCCGGACTCAGGGATTTCCAGGACTGGAAGGAAACGTGCGATGAGAAGGGACAGCCGTACTGCTCTTTACCCAATGCCTGTCCGCTTACCACTCGGGAATTACCTGGTGAAACTCTACGGCTTTTCACCTGCATGGAGTGCCCCAATAATTATCCATGGTTGCTCGATCCCACTGGGGATGGTTTCACTGTTAAGAAGTGAGAGGGCTGAGGGTGCGAAGGCATGGGGATGTGGGAGTGAAAAAAAATTTGTCTTCCGGGAAAAATTCTACTGCTTCTAGGAATTATTCTAAAATTTCATTCATTCAAATCAAGTGATTTTTTTTTCACTTTTTTTTTAATTAAATTCACGGAAATTTCCATTATCTCCGGGGACATCTGGTAATTATTCATTTCCAAGGCGATTAAATTGAAAAGTTAATTTGAGTGGAAAATTTAATAGTCCCTGCACGATTAAGAGTAATTTCTGGAATCTGGAATATTTTTTCCTTTAATTCATTGAATGAATTGAAAAATTACGTATTAATTAATTTTGATAAGAAAATATTTCTTGTGCCTTCGATATTGAATCCAGATTCGGTAATGCCCTCGTTGCGAGTACCGGATGATTTTCACTTGTAAATATCCACCGAAAAAAAATAACGAATATTGAAATTATTGTTTACATGGTACTGAGGCGCGTGATCTCGACAACAACTCGACTTTCTCTGGTTTTGAGGTACTGGGTAAATGGAAGGGAGAGATTCTGAGAAAGTCCATGGGGTCACCAGTGATATCTCCCCAGCGTGTGGATCGAATGTGAAATTAGTTGGAGAGATTAATGATTGAAATTGCGAGATCGATTCAACGATGGGGATATTAGAATGAATTCGCTCGATGAAAATTGTATGTACCCGTTCTAATTATTTAAGATATAAGCAGTGTATTAATTTTAATGAAGAGCTTAAACTATTTCTCAATACATAAAGAATGTGAAAATTTTTCTGTCTCCGGCATTTCATTTTTTTTTTCCGCCACTTTTTCTTTTCGCTCGCTCTCTCGTTCGGAGTGTTTTACTCTCGGATAAATTCCGCTTGATATTTCTTTTTTTTTTTTTCACTTTCGTCCTTTCACCCTGGAGCCTTGAAACTTATCTTCGGAGATACGAGACATCGGGAGAAGAAGCCATCGGTGAAAATGTCAGTTGTAACCCGAGGGGTCCCTTTCGATTTCGGACGACATTCCTCTGAACGAGGCGCCTCATTCCCCGGGTAAAGGCCCCTGGGAGTATTTATTACTCTTGATTTATCGATCGACTGGACACATTCAAATGAGATGAGAGAAACAAACATCATAAATTTTCTCGATTTGTTTACAATGTAATCGTGGAAATATTTATAATTTTTTCTTACAGCCTTTATACCGTCGAAAAAATCAATCAGCGAAAGAGTAAAAAAATCGATCCAACAAAATCTTTAATTTGTAATGAAAAAATCATATGATCAACATAATTTCATAATTCAGTGACGAATCTGATTAGATTTCATCCTAATATCTTTATTTCACTATTCACAGGCTTCAGCCATTTTACATAAATCTCCCATCCGTATTATTAATTTTAAATAAATAAGGCTCGAACACATGACAACAGCTCAACTGTTTTCAATCAAATGAAATGAACAGGTGAGAGAATTCGTGTCGAAATGACAAGGAACAAAAAAAAATTCTCAAAAAAATAATCTCTTAATAATGGATTGATCTCATTGCCACCCCCACTCATTTCATTCAATAAAAAAGCCAATAAATTTCAAACAAGAGTACGACAAACAATGAAACTAACAAATCTCCCTCAATTTTTCCTAAAAATTTAACGACTAATTCAAGGAGCTTAATAGTTACACGATAAAATTAATACATGAGCAAAAAATGGACAAAATTACGAATTGCAAACGGGAATTCAATAGATTTACCTACGGATGCATTGCTGGCAAGGTATCTCCTTCCGACGAGACTGTTCTCACGTGAGCCTCACAAAAAAAAAACATTGACGAAAAAAATTCATTCAGAGGTATTCACACCCATTTTCCAATGTGCACACTCATACAAAAATTTTCTATCCACAGCAGAGATCACTTCTTGCAATCTACATTGTACGTGTGAAGTAGATTTTGCTGGGTTTTACCCCTTTTAATCGATAAAACATAATTTAGACTCGATAAAATGGACATTAACTAGATCAGTTTTGAGTAACTCGGGTCATATACCCAGGTAACTGCACAGGGTAAACGCACCACAGATGCTCAGGATGATGAATATTATTACCAGCCAGAAGGGTAGTGTATCTGGAAGAAAAATGACAAATTCGTAAACTTTGAGAAAACGATTAGATTTAAACCGAGAAAGGGAAAATAAAAACTCACGTCGATAAGGAATGCTGTGAATGCAAATTCTGTTATCCACGGATATGCTGACAACGGCAGCTTCTGAGTTGCTGGTGATGGGTGGTCCATCCATTTTGGAAGGAATGAATTCCAATCCAGTGACGAACATGCTGTGTGCGCCAGGAACATGAAGAACCCTTTGTAAACTAAATGCGATAAAAATGTCAACACTCCCCGAGAACATAGTGCCAACAGCAACGAATTTTCCATCGTCAGACACAGCAATGGCTGATAGGGTCTCCCTGAAGGAAGTGGACCTGACGATGAGGCCCTGCTCGAGGTCCCACAGCTGAAGATAGCTGGGTTTCTTCGGAACTATTGAGTTGGATAGAATGAACAGCTGGGGCTTCGATTTTTTGTCTGTAGGAATTCTGAAGCGAAGGCGTTTGTACATGTATTTTCCACCAGCAGGAGGCGTCCAGGACAGCTCCTGGGATTTTGTGCCTTTGGTCACGTCCCAGACGATGGCACGACTATCTTTTGCTATCGAGGCAACTAGGCTCCCATCGTGGTTGAAGTCAATGTCGTCTATTTCTTTTGTGTGGGCTTCTAGGTCATGGATTTTTGTCAGGTGGGGAAATTTCCAGAGCCTTACGACACCATCGAGACCACCAGTCGCCATCAATTTTCCGTTCGGACTTATTCGGACTATCCTTTGGATTGGCTCTGAATCACTGGACATTTTTATTGATTCGTTAGTCATTGAGGAATAAATCCTCGAGAGATAAAAAAAATTCCTGAAGTTCTGAACAACTACGAATTATTCTCCACTCACCTGAAATCCGTCTGAATACTAGTGGAGGGTTTGAGAATGAGCTGCAGCTTCTTATGTTTGGCATTAGAATAACCCCTGACCTCCTCGATTCTTTCCCCATTGACCTCCTCATTTTTCTCGCTGAGTCGCCTCTGTCTGAGGTTCTCCTTGTTAATGGTGGAGGCACTAGTCCCTTTCAGAATTTCACCGTTCTCCAGAGTAACGATCCTCGAAGTAACGTCGTACAGCTGACAATGACTCTCCTGTCCAGCCACAAGATACGTCTTCTTCTCATCACTGGTGCAGGCACAATTCATAACAACACTAGGTCCCGTCTCGTGCCTCGTTACCTCCTCAGCTGTGAACTGCCAGCCATCGTGTGACAGCTCGAAGATTTCCTGGATTTAAAAAAGCAAAAACATAACCCCACGACGTCATTAAAAAATGCCCAGAAATTCTTTAAAAAATCAGAGATTCTCGTAATGAGTTTGCGACTGGTGGATATATAATTTTCCACTTACAAATCCATTTGCCACTCCAGTTTTTGATGATCCTCCACCACCACCCACCAGGATGTGTCTGCTGGTGAGCATCTGAATGCTGTAGAGAGGAAAATTAACTTTGGCAATTAGCCCTCCTTTGCTCCTCCTCGATGGCATTATCAAATTTTATTGATCACTTCGACATTTAATACGACACAACACCAGGACAATAAATACGATGAATTATTAACGAATGTTTATTGTCAATTCACGATGAAACACTGGAGGCAAGTTCCACGTTTCACGTTGGCGCCCCATCTCTCTTGTTCAGTTGGACAAGAAGAAATGTCAGTGGAAACGTCATTCTATTTTTTGAGAGATAAATCATGATTGCTCTTTAAACGACAAAAAAATTATTTTAAAAACCATCATTCTCGATAATCCATCTATTAAATTTTTATGTCAATTTTTTAAATATAAATTAATGTACAGAAAGCTGCAATTTATTTTGGAAAATTATCGTCATACGATAATTTCGTATCGAATGTCGACACATGATGGCGGCACCAACAAGGGATTTCCGTCGGTATCAGCTGATTTTCGGAGTGGAATTCTCCTGTCTCTGATCTGAACATAAAAAACGTCATTGGGGCAAGATGGCGGGTGTCATAACTCGCTGTGTTTCGGTGTCCGGACGACAATTAAGTAAGTTTAATAATTTCACTGGTTTAATTAATCATGATTATAATTCGGGATCTACCGGGGATATTGAGGAATTGATTGAGTGGCTTTTTGAGGGAATTCATCTGGTATTTACGCTGTTGGAGACTTATATAATTCGGTTGTTGGTGTTATAGAGTGTCTGGGACCAGCGTTGACCACCCAACAAACCCGAAAATTGGCTGATGCTGCACCCGAAGGAAAGGTAAGTGTTATCATTAAGAATTTTCATCTCGATCAAATCGTTTCGAAAAATCATCGACGTAAATTTGACGATTGCACCATTCGCGGCAATATTGCGTGTATTTTTGGGGAATCAATATTCTAGGGGAGTTATCATGAAAGGGTAAAGACAGCTAGTTTAATTGAATTTATTTATTAATATCTTGAAAGTTCTCTTCATTTTTAAATTATTTCAGACACTTCTCGTCATATTTAAATTATCAAATCGATTGGGGATTTTTTTTTCATTCATCAATATATTCTCGGCGATTTCTGTTTTCTGATTTCTTCTTTAATAAATTATTTAGTCAGTCAGGATGTGGACAGAGCGTCCATTTATCCTACAATTTTAATTTTATCATTCATTTTTGAATTTTTTTTTCTTGACTTTAAGAAAAATTCATTATTTGAATGAAGTGATAAAATTTGGCCTCTTGCATTATTTTCTCCTGGTGAACTAGAAATGTGGAGCCCCCCTTCACGATCAGGATCGTATATTCACGAATCTTTATGGTCGACACGATTGGAGGCTGAAGGGTGCCCTGAAGCGAGGTGACTGGTACAAAACCAAAGCAATTCTCGATAAAGGGTCGGACTGGATAATAAATGAGATCAAAGTATCGGGTCTCCGTGGTCGCGGTGGGGCTGGATTTCCATCTGGAATGAAATGGTCATTTATGCAAAAGCCATCGGATGGCAGGCCCAAGTATCTCGTCGTCAATGCTGACGAGGGTGAGCCAGGCACGTGCAAAGATCGTGAAATTATGCGCCACGATCCCCATAAACTTGTCGAGGGTTGTTTAATTGCTGGACGTGCCATGGGGGCTTGTGCAGCCTACATTTACATTCGTGGAGAGTTCTATAATGAGGCATCGAACATGCAGGTAGCCATTGCCGAGGCTTATCAGGCTGGCTTAATTGGCAAAAATTCATGTGGTACTGGATATGATTTTGATATTTTCGTTCAACGTGGAGCTGGTGCTTACATATGTGGTGAGGAGACTGCGCTGATTGAGAGTATCGAGGGAAAACAGGGAAAGCCCAGGCTGAAACCACCATTTCCTGCTGATGTCGGCCTCTTCGGGTGTCCCACTACGGTTACTAATGTGGAAACTGTTGCTGTATCACCGGTAGTCTTATTTCCATTATCAAGTTGTATTTATTTATTTCTACGTGAAAATCCTTTTGGGTGGAGTAATTGGATTTAATAATTCAATAGTGATTATGCATCGTTACAGACTATTTGTCGTCGTGGAGGTACCTGGTTCGCTAGCTTCGGCCGGCCTCGTAATCATGGTACCAAACTATTCAACATCTCAGGTCACGTAAACAATCCATGCACTGTGGAGGAGGAGATGTCGATACCACTGAAGGAACTCATTGAGAGACACGCCGGTGGTGTAATTGGGGGCTGGGACAATCTTCTCGGTGTTATTCCCGGTGGATCCTCTACGCCCATCATTCCAAAAAGGTTGTTAATTATTAGGGGTTACTTTAAGCAAACTGGAAAGTAATTACCAGTCTGTGGAATTGACTTGTTAATTTTTCATGGTACTGATAATCTCGGGTTGGGGCTGACTTCGGATTTTCAGAGCGATTTCGAAATTGCGGGTGTAATATTTAGGGGAGAACAACTCTAATCTTGAAAAATACAAAATAATACTCACAATCTTATTCAAAATCAATTCAATGAATAATTTTCTCATTACAATAAATTGGGGATAATTACACTATGAAAATAATAATGAGTAGTTGATAAATTTATTGATCAGTTTATTATTTTCTAAGTTGCTATAGATTTTGAGATGAACGTTCCATAAAAATGGTAAATTACCAATTAAACTGACGCACGATTGATGGATTTTATCGATCTGCTCCTGTATTCTTGCAGCACCTGTGACACAGTGCTCATGGACTTCGATGACCTCGTCAGGGTGCAGAGCTCGTTCGGAACGGCTGCTGTTATCGTGATGAACAAACAGACGGACGTAATCAAGGCGATCGCTCGCCTCATCAGCTTCTACAAACACGAGTCGTGTGGTCAATGCACTCCTTGCCGCGAGGGTATAAGTTGGATGTACAAAATAATGAGCCGGTAAGTTAATTTGTCTGTGATAAGCGTGTTCTGGTCTCGCACGCGACTCACCCATTCACTTTGTTTTATTAATGTCAGGTCGGTGGGTGGGACAGTAATTTTTGAAAATGTCGAATGTCGTGTCGGCTAATTAAATTATTCAGAAATCGAGCCATGATAATTGGATAATTGCGGGCAATTGCTGGGTTTTTACATCGTCCGAGGAAGTATTTATTCAAATTTTTCTGCTCCACAAACTGGAAACTTTCAGTTGACTCGTAAATTATAATTTTTGTCATTATTTTCCTGGGGACTACTTCGAGCTGTTTGTACTTTATTCTCTTTATCATCTATTGAATTTTGTATTCTTAGACGTCGATGTTATTAATAGGTGAATCCTCTGTAATTCGTGACATTTTCGGGACACTCTCGTGTCCTGGATTCTGAAAATATCGTGCAATCTGGACCACTCTTGGAGTCGTTAGAATTACCTCCTCGGGGCACTCCTGAGCCTCTCGATTCCCAAGTTATTCCTGAAATAGCCTGCATCAATGAAAAGCGAAAGGGCTTATCCTCTTACCTCCCTCATGCAGATTGACGATAATCACAGATGATATTTTTAATTCAAGATTTGTCGAGGGTAACGCGGAGGAGCATGAAATAGATATGCTGTGGGAGCTGACGAAGCAGATCGAACTCCACACTATCTGCGCCCTAGCCGATGGTGCAGCCTGGCCAGTCCAAGGTCTAATCCGTCACTTCAGGCCAGTTATCGAGGAGAGAATTCAAACTTTCAAGCAACGCGCTTGCAACTAAACTCCTAGTACAACACTGTTAAAAATTTCATTTGAATTATACCATTCAGTGGAAATTCAAGAAAATCAAGGAAATGATTTTTCTTCTGGAAAATCAACATTTTTTCTATAAATGGAAATTAATGATTCAGAATTTTTTTAACAGTGTACATGTTCAAGTATAAAAAAAATCTATTAATTTTATTCAAATGGTTAAATTATTCCCCCAGCAGTCGAGGTGAGATTTATTTCACGTGTACATAGATTAATCCACTCGATAGGATCAGGATTTTCAGGTCGTGTAAAGCCCGATAAGGAAGTTGTTAATAAAAATAAATGAATAAATCATATCGTCAATTTATTCCCCCCAAATCCATCGATTTTCTGAGGCTATTGCTGCATTATTCATTGCACTCTGGCAGTTATTTGAAGTTTTCTTTTTTTTTTACGTCGCAAAGAGGGGGAGGGGCGAAACGTATATTATCGGACTCAGTCTCTTGGAACGTTGATCGAGGTAATTACCAATATTTATTGAAAATTGCGACATGTAGTCGTGAATTATTTTTTCTATCTTCCACTGGGCACAGGATACATTTACGCATACGATAGGAGTTAATATCCGCTCTCATTACACTGAAGTTTTATGATCATTCATTATTATTTGTAAAACATTAATTAATCGAAACGGGAAAAATGAGGGTGAGGGGTCACGTCGAAGGAACGACTCACTGTAATTTATTAGAGATGAGCCCCAGCTATTCCACAACAGAAAATCATTACTGACTCTCCCCTGTGAATGAAAAAAAAAATACCCAGAGAAACCCCCGGCCTTCTTACCTCCTGAAAAATTATGGCTCCTGAAGAATTCATACACCAATAGCTCCTCCTATTTTTCTGGGTTAACGGGCCTTTTACACTCGATTTATCGCCACCGATCTTCCCACCACTGCAACCACCACTTTTCCACTAGTCATTTCCATACACCCATTGATTAATCCAAAAAAAAAGAGAGTACATAAAAATATGCACATAGAAAATTCAGCAAACTGGCAATTTACCGAACAATAATTAGCATTTATTCGTTCATTATACAAGAATTTTTATTCTCCACCTCCACAAAATGGGTTTTTACTCACGAACGCTAACGATCCGTTACGATACACGATAATACGTCATTACAATGTGCGTATACAATATATATAATATATACAAAAGCGCTCGTTCATTTGACAGACAAGATTTTCCTCTTTCTCATGCCACTAAATCTCTCACACGTGACGTTTCCTCTGTCTCAGCAGCAATCTTCCTTTCATTTTTGTATTTCCTTTATTTTATTTACTTTATTATCATCAATAAACGTTAGTTTTTATTTATTAATCTTACCTTTACATACATTAACGTAGCGATTACATGATACGATAAATTCAAGGGGAATTCATCTTCTTTTTAATTAGAGTCAGTAGTGAAGTGGTGGAAAAGGGTAAATTAATTTAACTGTTTGCATAACAGTTATTGGGAGATATCTCGGAATAGACGCGAGATAACGGAATTTTTATGGAGACCTTTTTTGACGGGCAGATTGTCATCTGCAAAAAAGGTCGAGTCAAAAATTGTGGTATCTCCGGTAGATTTCGGGATATCATTGGAAAACTACTTCACTGCTGAATCGGTTTTCTCTCTTGTTAGTAAGCGCACAAACTGTCTTTTATGGTAGGTCCGTTGGTTTTGCCATTTAAGATTATTAGTTCTTTGAATTTTCTTACTATTATGATTTTTTTTTTCTAAGTTTTCGTCTCGCGTTGAGCCACGCTCTCGATATACAACACTAAGGCCAATTCGGAGACATGCGTGATCGAGTAATAAAATAATATTTTCCAATCCGGTGGTTCCTTTCTTTTTTGGTTTCGGTGGTATTATTTTTTTGATGGAGGAGTATTACACTTTGTCACGCATCGGTGACTCGTACAATTGAGTTGTCGATGCAAATACGTAACAGACAACCTGTGGGTCCTCAATGAAAACAATACGATACGATATTTCTGATCTTTTCACTTTGTATTATCTGTGACTGATGATACCGGATATTTTTATCACTTTTTGATGATATGATTTAAAGCTCACGGATGCTACCAAATTCGCACTGTCGTGCTCATTGATTGAATAATTTTTATATAATTTTTAAAATTTATTTTTGATGATTGATTGAATGGTAAAGTGGTAGGACAAATTAGAGACAAATGTGAATAAATACAATTGTGGATATCTCGGGAAGCAGTGGGCCGAGGGAAAAATGGTACGGGAACTTTTTGTAGGGAATTTTGTGGGATAGAAAAAAAGTTTTTTAGCATTTTTCGATACACCCAGTTGTTCCGGAGATATTTCCAATTTACTACCACTCCACCACGGAATTGAATAGTGTGGGCACGCACCGTGTCTCTTTATTTCTCATTCTTTCTGTATAATCGGCCTATAAAAATAGACGTCTCTCTACTTTTCAATGCGAGCTAACAGATCCTTGCTATTTGAACAAAAGTGACAATAACTCGAACGAGCATTTCGCGTAATCATAAAAAACTGATTTATTCGAATCCATAAACGAATACATTTCCATCCTAAGAGATAAATTTTTTTTCCACCAATTCTTTTTCTGGGTCAGCCAAAAAAAAAAAATCATTTCGATATCTGTCGTTAAAATGAAAAATTTTTTTTAGTGCGGGGAATGCAATGAGTGTCAATGACATTTGAGTGATGGAATTTCGGGCAAGTATTAAAATAAAATGTTTGCTCGGTGTTTAATGATTAATCAATATGACACGCGCCGAGAAAAGCTGAGGCGAGTGATAAAACGAAGGGATTTAAGTGGTTAATTTTGGAATGAATTGCTCGTTACGAGTTATTTTCATCGATTTGTCGTTTACTTATTCATCGGAAGAGAAGCAACGCTACGAGGCGCGGGTGATTGGTCCCACCATTCCGGGGACCGGAAGCTACTATAATAAATGTCGTCATTGAAGCCTCCATTCTTGGTTGACCATTTTTGAATAATAAATGAAAATGTTAAAACCTTCGATTCTGTTGTGAAGTGGCAGACGAGTTTGCTTTTCCCTGAATATCACAACAAAATCTTTGGGATCTAATTCTGCACTGGTGAAAAATACTTCCATTATCTGCCACTCTCAGATCTGATTTAAATCTTTCAAATCGTTCCACCATCCGACAGCTGAATTCCCTCATTTACAGTTGCCCCAAAACGTCAGAATTCCAAACTAAATTGTGCCTGGAATAGAGAGATTTGGAAGTTTGATTTTTCACTGATCACTCAGTGATGATTATCCATCCCTATGACATTCCCTGGAATTAATTATTTAAACAAAAACATGGGGGAGTCATTGAAAATATTTCTAGTTCAATTATCTTCACTGTCAAATATCCACAAGCACACAGAGTAAAGAAATATTTTTCCCAAGGCCTCAGGCACTTGCGAGAAGTATGCACCTTCAAAAAAAAATTAATTTCCAAACCGATCCAAAATGTTCTAATCCCCAATTTTCCACCAGAGCAATAAAAAAAACCATTACGATAAAAAAAAAGGGCACATGCTTGACGAATTCTCAGTGCAGCCCCCGAAAAAAAAATCTCGCCAGCTGTGGTTCCCCTCAACGGCCACTTCACTACCCCCAGAAAAAAAAAACGAAGAAAAGAAAAAAGTCACCCAAGTCCTGGAAGAGGCGCTCGCAAACGGATGGAAGGCACGGGGTAGGATATCAAAAAAAGGGTCAGCGTCATCTCGTAGATATGGCTCCTCGTAAAACACGTAAAAATGAACAACGACCGATAAACAATGGAATCCCCAGACTATCGATCATCACCACCACTCCAATCACTGGCAGCCCAAGCAGGCAATGGTGTTTCATACTCCCATCCAGGTCCACAGTATCGCCATGCATGAAGATACATAACAAGATCCGATGGTTTTGGATCACGATATTTGACTTTGCACTCGTAGCAGTGAGGATCAACCGTCACCTTGTCATTGGTAAAACTTGTATCAGGTGGTTCACTACCTGTTTGCGTACCAACAGTGACCTTGAGGGCAGATGGAAGTGGCTGCTGTGGCTGTTCATCGTCCGGTGAACAACCTGGCGTTGACGATGGCGAGCCATTGCTGTCCTTATCACCACTGGAATTCGACACTCGATCCTCCATATCGAGTTTTGGTTTGAAAAGTGACATCTCCGAGTCCCCATCCATTCCCAACCAATTCTCAGCGTTGTGAATGCCAATTAGATCCTTCACCAGCTCCTCATCGGTTTTACCTATGTTACCACCCTTTCCCTTCTCGGGACCGAACACTGTGTGATTGTAAAGGGGATCGTTCACCACTGGGTAACCCAGGTACTGCAGGTGCACTCGTATCTGGTGCATTCTACCTGTTTGTGGCTTGCACAGCACCACTGATGATTTTCCATTGTACGATAAACGCTTGAAACGGGTTATGCAGTCCTTTCCCTTCTCCGATACCTTGCACACTCCTATTTTATAGGAGACAACTTCGATTGCCTCTGAACAGACAACCTCATCCTCTGGAAAGGCACCTTCCACACGGCAGACGTACTGCTTGTGCACCTGGGGATCGGTCACGATTTATTGAGTATTTTTAATTAAGTGGAATTGTCAGGGAATTGACATTTTGGAAGAATGATCTATTGGTCAAGTCTTCGTAATGAGTGACTGATTGATCATTAGTGGAGTACCTGTCTATTTCTGATTTGATGCTCCATCTGTCTCGCTTTTTTTGGTGTTCGACCGAACAATAGAATACCACTGGTCAACCTGTCCAGCCTGTGAATTGTTCTCAGATTCTTCAGATTGTATTCTTTAGCGAGAATAAACACGACAGTATTGTGACGATAACGACCACAGGGGTGGACCTGTAATCAATCAAAAACACATTTCAATTCATCAATAAATTCATCGTGCAAAATTGGGAGGTGACTGGTGCAGGAGCGAGAAAAAATTCTACCCCCAGTACAAACAATCGGTCATTCAGAATGAGTTTGGGGATGAATGGGGGAGGGGTAATTAATAAACATGACAATTAGTGATAAAAACATTTCGGGGAATTTGAAAATTCATGCGGAAAAATCATCTCGAGATAATTATTACGTCATTACGAAAATTTGGGGACACGAAAAAAATATTCATCACTCAATATTGTTATTATTATTATTATTGATTATTATTGTTATTGATGTCACATCAAAGGAGCAATCCCCTCGAGCAATAGTAAAAATCCAGTGCAATCCAGGAAATTGAAATATCAGAAAAAGTAAAAATTGAGATTTCTCTCGCGCCTCCGGTGTTTCTCGCAATCAACAATGCATTGCTTTATGATCAGTGGTATGGAAAATAAAAAATAAAAAAACCGCGACACAATTTATTGTCGAATCCCGGAAAAGATACGAGAAATCGGGAGCGACGAAAATCCACACGCGTAAACAGGAAAATGAGACTGTAAATCGTTCAGATGCAGCTGTTGTTTAGAGGATGCATCGATACCAATGGATTATATTGAATGACAAAATTTTATGACGTCTTAAAGTGATAAAAAAAATAGAGTGGATACCGCGCAATTATTTTATTCCCCGGAAAATCCAGTGATTCGTCGATTCATCGAATTCCGTAGGAAAAATTCAAATAACGGTTTAAAGAACTTTTGAACAACCGTTGTTGCATTATAAAATTTCTCAGCTCGTCTTCATGACACCGTTGCAATGTTACCTCAGATCATAAAAATCCTTTCTGTATGAGCTCATGCGTCAGAGCTTACCTAACACGAGAGACTTCCTGGAGAACAGTTCTTTAGTTTTCCCACCAAGATTTACTGCACACGATTTTTTATTCTCCCATTTTTCATCTTTTCGGAGAGATTTTTTTTTTATCATCTCTTCACGTGAATGAACCCGCGAGACCACGCGGAAGTGCTTCGTGAATTGTGCGATTGGAGATTTGCCAAGTATTTTTATTAGCGAACTATTTGTCCCTCACGTGGCACTCACACCCGGTTAGTTAATAAATATCAGATGTAAATACATTTTTTTGCGAGGGTGGATCGTAAATCAAGGAGGGGAAGGAGTGAATTAAATCCCACCAGTTGATTCTGACGTTAATGTATTTTTATTGACATTAATTAAGCCCAATTAAGCCTTATTCCGGTTAAATTATCCCTAATGAACTCAAGTTAATTATATACCCCTTATATAACCCTGAAAAAAGGGAAAAATTTCCAGGGTCAAGCTGGTAAGGGTAAAAAAACATCGCGTTTTTTTTTTAATGATTAAGGATCAACAAATTTCATTACGGATTAATTGGACTTTATTAACGGTTAATTTCGCTTGATTAGGATTAATTTGAGCTCGACTATTTATGTTTTTTATTTATATTTTGAGAGGAGACGAATGGTAAAATTTTTATTAATGATTATTAATAATATTGATATGATATTAATATTTTTTATTCATTCATTTTTATGGTGCTGGTAATGATCTATAGGAATCTCGAGTTTTAATTAAAATTTTTGAATCGCCGGGGAAATGAAGAAAAATTGGCAATTTAGGACAATTATTTCTGAAATTTGCAATTTCATCAGCTTCTCTCCGTCAATCGAGTGCAATGACACTCTTGACAATTACTCGTCAACTGTTCACGAAATTTCAATTGCTTCCTAACGGCGTACGTCCTATTGCGAATTCTGAAATTCGAAATTACCGAATTTGTCAATCAAACATTGCAATTGACAAATTAGAGGGAATACAGATGATGACAAATTTTTAGATTACTCTCGGAGAATATTCTCACAATTCTGACGTTCAGCTAGGATAGTGGAGGATTTTTTGATGGAAAAATTGTAAAATTCCTGGATACTCTTTGCCGTTCAATAAATATCCATTAAAGTTGGCAATTTCGTAAGCAATCACATTCCATTACACCTGATGCAACTCATTGTCTCCCCCAAAATATTTCTCTCCCACGGATCCATTAATTCACCATTTTTATTTATCCCCCTTCATTACGGGTTATAAACATCAGAGTGAATTCAACGGTCATTTAAATCTTGTTTACGACACCGGGACTTGCATTATCTTCTTCGCGAATCTCATCGGGATGGACATGAAAAAAAAATACTGTTCGAGATGGATTGCGTAATGCACCGATCGCTATCTCCGATGCAACGAGTGCAGTTTGTTTTCCCTCGATGCAATTACTTTCAGCTAGTTTTTTTTTTTCGCTGGTTTATTTATCTTTGGTTTGTCTGCTCTCTTTTTTTTCACCTCCACACTAGATCCGATAAAGGGAGAATGGATTTTTACATTTTCTCCGGTGTTATCTCCACTGATGAATAAAGTTTCAATTTTCGGGGATCACCACCTGATTTTAAACTATCGAGAGAATTTTCGTTGGTATTCATTTGTGAGAAATAATTAATAATTATAGTGGGTTTTTTTTTTATTCGTTTTGGGGGAATTGGGGAAATGGGGAATGGATTTTATTCGCTAAATTTTTTCGATTTGTGGAATTATGGTTTTTGAGTTTTTGGGGAAATGGTTAAAAATATATCGTTAAATATTTTTGAGGTGGGAATCGAGGGGGTAATAACTCAGGCTCACAGGGAAATAACTAGTCACCGTGACGAGATAATGATATACATAATCCTGTGTCTCCATGATGTCCAAATGGATCGATTACGCGGTGCACGCGATCGTCGAGGTTTTTTAAGGTTTGTTATGGCGAAATTTATGGGGTTAATTACGGGAACATGGACGACTAGGTCTGACAACCCTCCGGAATTCCCTCCAATTTCACTAATTCTGGTTATTATCGTTATTAACTCACGGTCTGTTATTTTGGAATTTTCATAATTTTCCGAATTCTCTGATTTCTCACGCGCAATTCCGCGCCCGCGGAAAACCAATTTTTCACTGTCTTTCCACCGCGATAACCCGATAATTTTAATTTTCCAACCCCTCAAGGTCTGCCCCACTTGCCATTCTTTATTTCCATTTGGTATGTGTGTGCTTTTTTTTTATTTAATCTCTTTCATTTTTTCAGGGCGCGTTGAATATGAATATGGAAATATTTCGGGCGGCGACGCGGATATCACAGTCGCGCGAATTCTCACAATGATTTTCCACGTATATAGTATATAGAGCTCGGGGTTCTCGTTTATCCTAATTAGCAATTCCAGTGATAGTCTCTCTTCTAGGTGGGCTGTACAGTTGAGTCGCATTGAGGTCTCTCGGCCGTTTGGAAATAATTCCGTCGTGACGCGATCTCCGGATTGTTTTTTTTTCACGATTTTTTTTTTCACGATTTTTTTTTCTGGGCAGCGTTTCGGGTTACGGGAATTTTTAAATGCGGATAACACACGTGGGGTTTCGTCTCGATGTCCACGAAAATGTGGTGGTGGGTCCACGGAATTTTTAAGTACAACAGGGTGTTTTAATTCTCGGGTTTATTGTGACGGCTATAGAGGGAGGAAAATCCGAGAGTGGAAAACACCGGGGAAATTGAATATCCTGAGATTTTTCCACCGGTAAGACCTGTGAGACAAAATCAACTCGTCGAATTTCGAAAATTCATTTATTTTATTTTATTTCGTCTTGAGACAGTGAAAAAAAAATGCAATTACATGTGCATACGCCGTAAAACGTGGAGAAAAAATGTGGGATGAGGGAGAAATCAGAGAAATGATGCACACTGAAAACTAAAATCAGGGAGAACGAACGAAGAGGTGTAAATTACGAAGGAGGTGAAGGATCGCACAAGCCAGGCTTGATTGGATATAATAAAAAATGAAAGAGATAAATATAAAAAATCATATAAAACATGAAGAGGGAGTGCATACAGTTACGTTGAGAATGAGGTGTGAATAGCAGGGAAAATTGATGCGAGTGAATAAAAATTGATGACATGCTGATAGATGCAGTATGATCAAGTAAGCATGAGACATTTGGCAGTACAGTCCTGGCAGTACACCACTTACAGGGATGGATGCGGGCTTGTTGACCACGACGACGTCCTCGTCCATGTGTATCACCGTGATCGGCTCCGAGGTGACTGGCACCTCGTGTCTGCAACACACCATATAACCAGCTTAACGTGGCTTTGTTCTAAACAATATCACATTCACACTTACAATTAACAAATTCAACCGAGATACTCTATTTTTCATTGATTCACACCATCCCCTCGACACGAAATCGAAAACTTAAATATGTATGGGAGCATTCGTCCTTTTTTTTTTGCAAAAAAATTTCAACCTGACGGTTCAATAATTTATTGTATAATTCATTTAAATTCAATTGGCAATTTGAATAATCAGAAAAAATGGTGTTATTGTGGTTATTGGTGGAATTTATTGTTCAGTGAAAATCGTGAATGTGAAAATCGAGAAGAAGGGGATTTTTTAAAAATCATTAGACTTTTCGCATATATCGGTAAATAGAGTAAATGGGAATTGTATGTAATATTCAGTCTGTATTATTCAAAATAATGAACGAAATTTCGAAGTCATGTTCACGTCTTCCCTCTCATTCTCTATCCGAGTGAATGAGCCTCTGGAAATTGGTGACTGCGTTGCGCAATATAAATGAATAATTCATCAGCACCCAATGAACGAGTTTGAAACTAATTAAACTAGTGGATATAACATTATCAACAATTCCAGTCAGGCTCATAATATCGTAAAAAATCGTTAAAAAATTGCCAGTATTTTCTGAATCATCTGTAGATATCACCGATTCATCCCGAGTGCCAAATGAATAATTCATATGAAATAGAATAAATAAAAGTGATAAAATTCCTAGTTCGGTGAGATTGAATGCGATAAAGAATCGATTAAATCCGAAAATAGCAAACATCAAATAATTCCTGTTGGCCTTGTCCCCGAGGCTCAATGAATTCCGCAATATCTCTAATTATCTCTAATTATCTTCCACTATCTTATTCAATTCTCCTCATTAGGGATGAAATCCTCACGTCTAATCATCCCACAAACCGCCCCCTAATCCTGGATATTCACATCCTCATCCACAAATCCGTATTACATCTGCCAAGTGATTATCCTCCCGGCGTACAAATTCAATCGGCAAAATAGCGTATCGATTTTGAATATTCGATTAGTTGAATTCAACATTGTAGTACCCATATCCATTCTGTGTCTCCTCAGGGATTCTCGTGTCCTACAGACGCCATAACAAACGTATTAACCCACTACAGCTCTAGGATTGTCAGCTCCAATATTCCCAGTTACGACCCCCAATAAATTTTCATTCTCAACCCAGCGAATTATTATCGCATTCATTATTTAAACCCCCTATTTTATGGCTTTAATTGAATCTGGATGATTGCACACACGAGAGGAATATCTAACTCATATCGATATTCCATTGGGAATTTTTTTTTTTCGATATTTCGGGTGCAATTTAGAATTTTTGAGATGAATTTTTATGGCATCGTTTCCAGGGAATTATCGCATGGCTGGTATAATTGAGGAATTAGAGGAGATAGCGATTTTTTTGTAGAGACCTTTTTTGTTGGTTGAAATTCGATCTGCAAAAGAGATATCTATGAAAATATCGGTATCTCCACTGTATCCAGAGATATTTATCAAAAACTATACTCGGAAAAAAGGGATTTCTCTACGCAGTTGAGAAAATTGAAAACAGAATGTAAAAAATTGACAATTCCAAGAAATAATACGATTTTTTTATTTGAATTCAATTTTTGATGGATTACTCGGTAATAATCGAGAGTCGGTATTGAATTCTCGCAAATTGACTTTTCTTGTTTCACCTTTTTCCACTGATTTTACATTTTACTCGACTCGTTTCGCCACTTTCCATCTGGATTCCGTCTGAAACCCAATTCGTGTACGATTCTGAGACTCACTTCGCCCACATGCCTCACCAAAATCCAAAAGAGAATCCTGAAAAATTGTGAGCAAAAAAAAATGTGACGGTGGAAAAAAGAATTACGCGGGTAACAAAGCGGTCTCAGTGCCTTCACATAATAGCGAAACTCGAATCACCGGGGCGTGAAGGCCATTTTTGTTAAAAAAAAATTATCTACCGTACGGTGCACAGAGAAAAATTTATAATAAAATTCACCCCGGGGTTCATTAATGGGATATATTGGCTACCTTTAGAAATTTCTCGTTGTCCTGTTAAAAACCGCAATAAATCCAGACAAAATAACCCCATCGAAGAATTAAAATCCTCAGAATGACAATTAAAAACAAGTTATAAACAAATTAAAATGATAATATAACGCTTCAGACTGAAAACTTCAGTCTTCAATCGAACTCGCAATTACCGAAGGAAAAATTATTTAATTGATCAATAAAAAATTGAGATAAATATATAAATCATTATTTCCATTGATCTTCGGTGAGCAGATACCCTGAGGCGAAAATTCTAACATAATTCTAATAATAAATACCTAATTACCAGTGTACATGTAAAGTACCTAGTGTTTCATGTGCTTCATCCCCCACAAAATCGATGAAATAGTATTTTGCAATAAATGAAGATAAGAAAATGTTGTCGAGAGGATCAGCATGAAACTAAATCTCTAAATAATGAAATAACAATTTCAAAATGCCCCTAAGGGCAGAGTTAGCAGGTGCACGTGTACTAGTTTAATTCCCTCATTAACATTCGTGAATCTCACGCGAGATTAAACATCGATTTTAACTGCCGGCAATGCGAAATGCGTTTCAATGCGTTTTTTCTTTCTTTATTTTTGTTTTTTTTTTTTTGAGGGTGCGATGCAGTCGGTTGGCACGCGATCTAGTCCCTGCAATGGAAATAAACGTTTCGCTAGGTGCAGACGAGACCAACAGATTTACCGATATCATCGGTAGTAGCTTTTGAGATAGCCCAAGATAGGGGTTAGGATGGGCTAGGACTAAACGGGGTTGTGGGTAATATATCATTCTGTCGTACTGGCGTGCCCTCGACCCCACTGGGTGATAGTCTGAATTTATATCTGGCGGTTTGTTATGTATTTATGACCGAATTCGGGACAAAGTGGAAATTATTGGTTTTATTTTTCACGATTTATTACCGACGATTAATCCACATTTTCCAATTTTTCATTTCATTAATTTCTCTGTACTATCGGAATTTTTGGAAATATATTCATTAATTACAAGATAAATTTCGGGTTGTTATTGCAAATTGAGAATTGAATAGTTAAATAAATTAAACAAGTTGATAAAATGAAATGAAATGTTTTTGGAAATCGATTATCTAGTGAGTTACGAGAGATCGAGAGAAATTCGGGAAAATGTGAATATTAATTACGAAAACTAATTACGAGAATTAATACAGAGGACTTGGTGATTTTCTGGCTGAGATTAATATGATTTTATTAAAATTGTTGGAGGATTCAGCGTGAAAGAGTTGGATAGAATGCAATATCCCGATAGTATGATGCAATTTTCAATTACGGAGGAAATGTAAATACTCAGAACCACGGGGAATACGTAAATATCATCAGATATTGGAAAAAATGTTATTGCCATTCTTTTTCGGTCTTCAATTTAATCAGCGCTACTTTTTATTGGCAACCCAGCGCTGCACGAGAATTTAATTCAATCCCCCACTTTTTTAAACAATTCATCAATAATCCAGACACAAAAAAAAAATCACTCCAATAATTTCTTTCGAAACTTGACCCAAAAAAATGATCAATAAACAAATGACAAAAATGAGAATAACAATAAATAAATAAACCACCGATTTTCCCAAAAAATTCTCCAACTCCCCCGCCCCCCAATTCCATAACCTCCCCACCCCGATTAATAACCCCCTAAATAATGTTTAAATTTATATTCCAATACGAGAGATCAGGGGATTGTACGCGAGTAAAAAAAATAGTGAAAAAAAAAAGCGACTCCATATTCGTTGCAAACGAAGTACCTCCGGTATGGAGGGGCTCCAGGTCGAATAGTTCTCCCCTCAACCCCTCATTCTAGTTCATGATACGAGTCTTCGAGGGTAGAATGCGGAGAACGACTTTAGGGGGTTGGAAAATCGAAGTGGAAAACGAGAAAAAAGGAGAGGGAACGATTTCCAATGGCTTTCATTGGACAAACTCGACTGACTCCTCAATCTCTCTTCAATCTTCAAACTCTTTTCCTTGAAAAAGGGAGAAAGGGTAGCATTCTCCCTCCCCCTGGTAAACAACCCTGTGTAAAGCTGTATACAAGCCATCGTACATGGCCCTTTTATCCGAGATTACCACCAGGTCATGCCACTCCTCCTTTATGCCCTTCTCATCCTACCTCGGCTCTCACTAATTGGGTTATCGTAACCAATTTCGATTTACCACCCCTTCCCGCATCCACCCTCGTTGGGGGAAGCTCACATCATCCCCTACCTTCGGCGTCAATACCATCTAGCTTTCGTCTAACTAATCATCGGGGAGTTACGACCTCACCAGATCCCGGAATAAATTTTATGGGAATTATCTGGTGCATTGAGAGGAAAAATTAAAAAGTTTATGGGATTGCACGATTTTTATTGATTGATTGAGTAGAAGATTTATTACTGAAGTGAAATTGAAATGAGACTCATGTAATTGAAAATTCAGGGATTTCTGGATTTATTTGAAAATTTATTTTCACATTGCACGCGAAATATGAAATTTCTGGAATTATCTCAGAATAAAATTTCATGCAGTAATTTTTGAATAATGCTCATTGTTGTATGACTCGTGAATGAAAAATTTGAATGAATTTATGTAATTATTTTGGAAGATTGTTTAAATTCTGGTCTTGCAATTTTTTACAATGAAAAATCAACGGCACCTCCACATACCGAATATTGGATAAAACCAAATGGAACAGACGACCTTTGAAAAGTTTAATCGATGAATAATTATCGAGAATCTCTCATTGTTCCATTAGCGCACTGATTTTCCAACCTTGACGTTAAATTATTTATCTCTAGTAAAGAGCATCGTTACCCGTACCTCGATTTCGAATTTGCACCAGTGAGTACTCTGTACCGCATTTTAAACGAGCCAATATTTATGCATATCGAGTTGATACGGACTGGCTGATCAA